CACACACACCCCAATTTTTCATTGGACGAATCTAAAACTACACTCTGAAATACCTTGGGGGGGGGGGGGGGGCCGCCAATGCCAAGAAGGAAACAAACCGTAGCTATATGGTAAGCAGCATTTCACAATTCAACGATATTACTGTAATCGAGACAATTAATGCCTATCATGGTGCGTTATTGTTGGACCGGACTGATTCAAGTTTCTTTATTCTCTTACGTTTAAACACTAATTCACCTACATTACAGTAATTAGCTGCAGATTGCCAGTCATAGTTTCACAAATGAACTCAACACAGTCTGTGGGTTGTAAAATTACCAGTTGTATGACATGTAACAAGATAAGATAGGCTGATAGTTGGCTGTAAAGACTGTTAATTGGGGGTATTAATATAAATCAATTGCTAATTTTGGAAACAGGTTTTTATTTCAGGCTTTAGAAGTGAGTTACAGATTTTTTTGTACCTATAATATACTATTTATATCTCCTTTGTTTCGAAATGAATTTCAATTACTATAGCTATATCCTCCTCATAACACGAAATATCGCAGGTCGTCAGGGCAACCGCCAGAAATTGGGAACGGAGATGGCGCCAGTGGTATAAAGAATCGCGTATTTTAGAGTTAAGTACGTCTATTTAACTACGAAACGGGTAGTTTTATACAGATAAAAGGTAGTTAAGAGTTTTATACAGAGTTTAAATGAATATGACAAATTAGTGTATGATATATAATATTGCGATATTTTTATGTCAAAAAACACAACTTTTCTACGTAGTAAATTTTTGGAAGTTTCTAGAAATGCATGTGGAGGAGCCTCAAATGATGATATGCATGATGATGATGATGGCAGGTGATAGTTTAGAAAACAGAAGTTGCTGCTATACTCCGATTCGACTGGGAAAAAACTGGGAAATGTACCAAATAGGTTCCTTATTAGTTTGCATGGTGATAAATATATATAATTGACTTGTCCTTGTGAAGAAGTATTTCGTTCATCTCACTGGCCAACATAATATCATAATACATAGAAAATTCTTCAAAGGAAGGATAAATTTCTGGCATGGAAGTTTAACATGTTACTCAGGGGAATGTAAAAGTCCCACAAGAGCGAGCTACAAGGTCTGCACGGGCGGCATATATAATGATGTTCAAAAGATAAGAAACTGATACGGAGGCAAATTATAACATGATGAAATAAATGCTATAGAAAGGTCAAAATTGTTACTATATTAATAGAAGTAATCTCAACTGGTAATCGTTAACAATCAACTCGCAAACTTCAAACCAATCAGTATTTATCTCTGCTATACGTGCAAGTCTTGAAAATTTTGGAGGAGAAATTTTATTACTGTCGCTAGATCTTTCATGATGTTCAGATTATACGCGGGAGTCTGGTTAAATAAAGCGTTCGTCAATTACACAAGTTTACGATGATCGGGCAATCATTCGTCATGGTCATGTATTTAGTAATATAAAGCAATCATATAGTTACCAGACAACATGTACAGGGACCTACAGCCAATCACATCACCTGAACATTTTTAATCTTTGGCGCAACCCTCGAAACAACCAAACGCTGTATTATATATCATTTACGTATGATTTGTTTCACTTTATGCTCTATATACCTGGACGAAAAGGGTTTTTTTCATTTTCCTTCGCTCAAGTAATTGAACTTCCCGCATGGTGGCCTTGATGAGTGATGACTACATCACGAGAGAACCATTTACCGTTAAGGCTGTCGTTATGCATATTGTTTTAACATTATTATTTTACACATTATACTTTATGTATATACTATATTATTTCATGCATATTATTTATTGCATCAATAATCTTGCAGTGAGGACTAGCACCTTGCGCATTTAACTCATATTGCAGCCTGAAAAAGGTTGCGCGCAGATCACTCAGTGTAAAAGCTGTTCCGAATAAAAACTGCATGCATGCTTTCGCATATAATAACTAGAATTTATAATATATACCAATATGTATTTTGCTTATCACTGCGTTTGGTATCTTTAAACGCATTTAACTGGGTTAGACATGGTAGATTTTTTCAGAGATAAGCCATGCAGAAACGTATAGAGTGCGATAAAAATAGCCAATATAGTAGCCAATTATACATCATGCATGTAATTATCTGTGTATGATATATAGAATACGTCATTGAGGTATAGAACATATATTGCACTGTAAACGTGGGAAACCTCAGCTGAATTGAGTTAGACGCAACTGTTGCGAATTACTTTATTTAGAGCTCATACTGGTAGTACCGTTTTTGAGGACGACAAAATGGTCTTTTTCTTAGTTTTGCGGAAATCAGAGAGCCATTCGATGGTTTCATATTTCGATCAGTTCAAGAATCCTGCTTCCTATGAGGCATCACTCCACTCGCGCGTCCTTTGTCATAACACTTTGTCATGCGTTTAGACATACTCATTTTGTTAATCTACGTCACATTGTCATTTATAAACATGACCGCAAGTTACAGGTTATACGCAAGGCTGCTCATGCAGGCACAGACTGGTTTTATCATCTACAGTTATTTAATTTGTTGTACCATAAAAATTGAGCACAACGACTATATGAGCTAACAAAAAGACTTGCTTACTATATGAACCCATCATATAAACGTATTGAATGTTGCAAGATAATTTACATTATTTCGCGTTAATACACCATGCATGCACCAACGCATCACTTTACTATTATTACATACAGGCATGCAATGATATATGCTCTTATGCCAACGTTACGAATATTGAAAGTAAATTTTCTTGAACCTTCTTGCGATCTATATGTTACCTCTCGCATAGCTATCAGGCAACTTAGGGACGGACCATTATTTTTTTGGAGGGGGGGATGAAAAATTCTTAAAAAAATTGTTTGCAAAGACAAAAAAGTGCAAATAAATTGTTTGCACACATAGAAAAGAGGAAAAAAATAGTTTGCAAGCTAAAGAGATTATGCAACATCAACCAAGGTTAATGACAATGAACAGTGTGCTCACCAACATACCCAGGGTCTTCACTCCAAAGCCCTGGGATGGGACACGCTGGGCACATGTTGCAATCTACATATGGGTTAAATATTAATCTATTTAATACAGTCATTTCTTGGGGGGGGGGGTTGTATTTTTTGGTATTTTTTGTATAAAATAGGTAATTGGACAAGTACTGGTGTAAGACATTGTGTAGCGTAAATAATGAGAGGACCAGTATCAGGGCCTTTTTTAACATAGAAGCGGTGGGGGGGGGGGATGTCTGCCTTATGCCCCCCTCACGAAATTACATTTTCCTTTACATTTCCCTTTTTCCTAAATTTACACAAACAAACCAGCGAAAAATAACAAATTGATAAACAAAAAGTAAGTTTTAGGCTTTATTCTTTCTCCTTGTTTAACAAAATCGATTTAAATTGTTACGTTTTTCTACCTGGCACTAAGTAATGATGATAAATTGTTAATATTTTTTTATTTTTTGTGCGTTTTTCCATCTTTTATTTCAAATACAAGTATACTTAGCATAAATTTTAGAGCAAATTTAAATGCTCAGAATGCAGGAAATGGCATTTCAGGGCTTCAAATTTCAAAAATTTTCTGGGGAAATATGCCCCCAGACCACGTGGCCGTCAGCCATTCCTATCCTTCTCTAATATATTATCTCACAGAAAGGTCCCCCCCCCCTCACATGGTAAAATCTTTAAAAAAGGCCAGGACCAGTATACCGAAAAAACTATTAAATGTCTGTTTACATATTAAATTTATACTTCTGACAACACCACATGTTGTTCGATCACCAGCGCCGTAGCAACCGGGGGGGGGGGCCTGCAGCCCCCACAACAATTTGCTAATAATTATTCATTTTTCAAAATCATGCAGACCTTTATAATTTAATTCATGACAAACTGCAAAGAATGAAGATATTACCCATACTTTCCTGCAACTTATCCAATATAAAGTTTAGTACTACAGAATTGTAAATTTCGCTGTTTTCTGACCATCAGAATTCTGTCAAATCTTCCCCAAAGTCCAGGAAATAATGGCATTTCAGAGACTCTAAATTTAAAAATTTCCTCGGGTCTTCGGTCCTCGCTTTCAGCCCCCCCCCCCCAATCGAAAAGAGCTTCCTACGGCCCTGATCACACATGCAATAGTGTAATCGGGCACAAATTAAACTATATATATATATCAATTTATAATGAAATCCACAGCAATCAGATGGACAAAAAAATTGTTTGCAGAAGGAAGCAGGTGCAAAAAAATTGTTTGCAACGACAACAGCACCAAAAAAAATTGTTTGCGTTGACGAAATGTCCATCCCCCCCCCCCTCCAAAAAAATAATGGTCCGTCCCTTATTGTTCGATTCTTGTTATTTTGTGTTAGCACCACCCAACGCTCTATAACCAGAAAATAAGCGGTTCACGCGCTATTTATTGAGGGAGGGTACTGACCACTGTTTAACAAATGTTGCGCAAAAATTTCGAAAACAAAATAGAATGCAAAATAGAATAAAATTAGAATGGTAAAATTAATAAGCGCAGTATATTAATGTGTTGCACAATATCCAAGAAGGATTTATCTTATCTTCCTTTCCCTCTTATGTTCAACCCATACATACTAATTAACTGCACTCTATTTTTAAATAAGTTACATCATGATTTTTATCTTAGCAAATTGGGAGCGCATTTATATTTCCCTGTCTGGGAAAAGATAATTTGATTTGTTCTAATTGTTCTACAACTTTCACTTCTATAACTTTCACTCATCAACAAACTAACAGTTTCTGATAGAAAATTTCAATGAATGAAGGCAAAGTATAAATGTGCGTGTAGCCTGCTACTTGCACGCACAATTATACAATTTTCTAGCAGGGTTGAATTTTAACCTTAATATTAATAATAGTTTTACGTGGTGTTCTGTTGCATTTACAGGAGGAGCTCAATTGTCAGTACAAGACGACTGGATATACGAGCTATACAAAATTATAGTGATCAAAATGGCGAACTGCAATTGCGAATGTGCTGCTGTCAGTCTTGAAACGGTCAATTTTGAACCACCCAGTGATGAAAGTTCGGAGACAAACGAGAAGCAGGATGATGAAAGTCGCAAACGTAAACGTCGTAAGAAGCGAATGTTGACTGGTGTAAGCAGACAACGTCGCGCTGCAAATGCTCGAGAGAGACGCCGCATTCAGGGAGTAAACCGTGCTTTTGTACAACTCAAAAATACTTTGCCACTTGCTCAAATTGATATATCAAAATTTGAGATTTTACATTTGGCAGTGAAGTGGATTGATCACCTGCGGACATTACTTAAAGATCATGAGGAAAGGAAAGAATTGTTGAACACAAAACAATTGGAAACATCACGACCAAACGAGTTTGTAAGTTTGGATGAGAACATGACTCCGGTGAAACACGACTGTCTTTATCATCAGTTCCCGGATTTGAAAAATACACTTTGGGAGGAATGCATTGGTTTACATGGTAAGTGCATGGTTCATTACTTTGTTATATATTGTTTAGTCATTTAATCCATAATTCATAAACATGCATCTGGAGTATGTAATACTTTGCTACGAGGAGGATTTAAATAAGACTACTGGATGAATTGCAATTGCAACGACAGCAAATATAGTTTCAGACGATGTCCTCGCTCTGTTTATAACGGTAAAAACAGATTTGCGCACCTTATGTACAGCGCCTGTATTTCAAGTCTCAATTAGCGTAGAACTCGAATATTTTTTTACCAAACATTATTTCATGGACTTGTTTTGGCCGTCGTCGTCGGGTTGCTGTCCTACATGCATGCATGCTCAAGATCCCTGTACCAATAAATGTACCTCAACACTAAACGTATAGAGAAAGCGTTAAATATACAGCACCATTAGCCTGTGTTCCAATCCAATACAACACCGACGCTAACAGTAATAGGAATAGTTTTGGTAGACATTATGAACACGATAGGTTATTTGCACAGGAAAATAACAATAGCAGGCTCTGATCGTCGGTCTCGTCATATATAACCAAACTGTCTTAGGATATCTAACCATTCTAAAGTATTTATTTTAGGAACAACATATATCCTCTCTCCTTCCCCTTCTCTACTTATATACTATTGAAAGTTTACAAAATTTTCAGTTGTCCATCATTAATGAGCTATAGTGTAGGGAAGCTAGGAGCATGCTGGAAAAAAGTAGAATTTCTCCTTAAAAATGTTTGTGGAAAAATTATTTAATAGTGTGGTGTTGTCAGGGCCTCCATGCACAGGACTGCCTGCACGTAACTCGTTGTTTTGATCTTTTGTTTGCCTTCCCTCCATCTTCTCAAAATAATCTCGTGTATTTTCTAACATGATTTAACTATTTTCTCTCGCAGAATCCATGGGAGGAGAAAATGAAGGCTGTATTCACATCAGAAGTAACTCGAGTTTCGTTTCTTTATTTTCACCACACTAAATTAAATTACTATGTAATGTACGATAATTTCCAACAAAGTATAGAGGTATAAGGACGATAATAACTTTCTTTTTTACTTTTTTAGTACATATAGTTTTTTGTAAATATAATATGTAACAACCTACACGTGTATTATCGTATATATTATAAATAAAGAATACTGTATCACTATATAGGGGTGTTAATCAAAAACCAGTTAAGGTTTCTACTCGGCCTTGCTGTTGGTATATTTATTTATTTCCATGTATAGACGTACGAGACGGGGGAGGGGGCTCCCAGACAGTGTTTAGTCAGGCAGATTCTACTTAAAAAAACGGGCAATTTGCTAGGCCTGCTTGCCTCGGTATAATGTATCTTGTCATGACATTGATCTTGAGATATTAATGTGTAAATTCAAATTGCCGATGCAGCAGAGTCAGGAGTTTTCGATGTATCTTAACTAAAGAATGAATCCCAAAAATACTCGCGTAAATAGTTCTATAATGTATTTTTATAGATTGACGTTTTAAGAATGACTTTATTCCCATGCAGAATCCTAGTTACAGGCCTGATCTGCTGCCTCGTATGACGTATACTTATTAGTTAAACCATGCATAGCCAATAAACGCTGGTTTCTCCAGATCCCCCGCGAAATATGCCCCCCCCCCCAGTTACACATCCTTAAAAGAAGCCCTGCATGTTAGTCGCATGTTAGGTATATACTATGCTATGCATGATGTTCATAGCTTTACTTTTCCATACTAATAATAAGTGATAAATATCAAGCCTTTAGCTGTCAAATAGCATCCGGGATACAGAACAATTAAATAAAGACATATTACTATTATATACTCTACCATAGTGATGAGATGCTGACGCCATGCACTATTCAGGTTAGATAGCTGTGTTTTTCCTCATAAAAAGGCCAGCTTGAGATCAGACGAATTAAACAGATTGCCAGATCAAAGGTTTGGTTATTTTTGAAACAAATTAACTCAGCATAGCCTGTTTTACATAAAATTGAGAACCGTTTGATTATCTTGATAACATATAGTCCTTGAAAGACCAACACTTCAGTAGTATAGCGTGACTAAACAAAATAGAGCAATATAGAAGTATCATATTAATTGGGGGTGGGGGACTTATTGAGTCACAGTTCTAAACCATACTCCCCCAGGGAAAAAACCTCTTCAATTTTGGGTCTCTGAAACGGTATTTCCTTAAGTCTTAATTCATAAATTACCTTTTAACAGTGTCAAATATTGTTCATCGGATGCGCGCAAGATATGCAACACTGTCTGCCGACAATTTTCCATCGCCTCCCCCCCCCCCCCATTTTTCATCGGATTTGAACGAATCTAAAACTACACTCTGAAAAACATTGGGGGGGGGGGGGGGCGACGCCAATGCCAAGAAGGAAACAAACCGTAGCTATGTAGTAAGCAGCATTAATTTTCAACAATTCAACGATATTACTGTAATTGATATATAATGGTGCGTTATTGTTGGACCGGAGTGATTAAAGTTTCTCTATTCTCTTACGTCTTCAACACTAATTCACCGACATTACAGTAATTAGCTGCAGATTGCCAGCCATAGTTTCACAAATGAACTCAACACAGTCTGTGGGTTGTAAAATTACCAGTTGTATGACACGTAACAAGATAAGATAGGCTGATAGTTGGCTGTAAAGGCTGTTAATTGGGGGTATTAATATAAATCAATTGCTAATTTTGGAAACAGGTTTTTATTTCAGGCTTTAGAAGTGAGTTACAGATTTTTTTGTACCTATAATCTACTATTTATATCTCCTTTGTTTCCGCGAAATGAATTTCAGAGCAAGCTTTAATTGCTATAGCTATAATATCCTCCTCATAACACGAAATATCGCAGGTCGTCAGGGCAACCACCTTTCAAATCTCCGTTCCCAATTTCTGACGCCAGTGGTATAAAGAATCGCGTATTTTTAGAGTTAAGTACGTCTATTTACCTACGAAACGGGTAGTTTTATACAGATGAAAGTAGTTAAGAGTTGCTCTTCCGATCTCAATGCTCTGCTAAAACTCGATAGATTTTCCGGCCGCATATACCCCTTCATGAGTTCGGTTTGCTCGCATAGGAAATAATAACAGGGTGGGCAGTAGGACACAAAAATGTAGATTCACAACCACATCCGCATTATACAGCCGCAGCAAAATACATGGCGTGATTAAATAAATATGACAAATTAGTGTCCTATACGCGCAGGCATGCAACTCAAAACGTCGAAAATTTCTATGATATATAATATTGCGATATTTTTATGTTAATAATTATACAAAACTTTTCTACTGTAAGTAGTAAACTTTTCGAAGTTTCTAGAGATGCCTGCAGAGGCATGTAGTAAAACACTGACTACCGGAACACCGGAACACTACCGGAACACCACCTAACCCTAACCCCAACCCTAATCCCCAACCCTAACCCCCAACCCTAACCCCCAACCCTAACCCCCAACCCTAACCCCCAACCCTAACCCCCAACCCTAACCCCAAACTCAAACCCTAACCCTAACCCCAAACAAA